GTCGTTTTTCATTGTGTGTGTTATGTCTGCATGTAGTGCAGTTCCTAGCCTGCCTGTCTGTTTTTCCCCCTTGGGGTTGTTTTAGTTTGTTTTTGTTTCATTTTATTACTAAAATAAATAACCATTTCTCCTGCACTTGAGTCCTTGCTTCATCTCCCCGCACGCACCGTGACACGTGTTTGCTTAGCAATGCAGTGCTGAAATGTGCGTGCTCACGAATCCTCTCATTATAACACACGAATTGTAGACATTATGAAAGATTAATTATGCATATATTTATTGTGTTATAACAGAGATTTGTGAGATTGCGATGAACAGATGTCTTTTAGAGATTATAAATGCAGCGCTCTTTGCTGGCATTCTGCCAAACCATGCACGCAGCAGCCGCTTGCTTTAGTTAAAAATAACTATAACTAAAACTAAAATAACTGTTCTGTGAATGTTGATGCTTTAATAACAAATATTTATCGGGAGCGTGTATGCTGGGATTTCATAAATTTCATGGAGAAAAAGTAACGTAACTAATTACTAATTACGTTTGAAATAAAGTAATCAGAACAGTAACATGAATACTTTTAAAAGGAGTAATCAGTAATCAGTAATTTGATTACATTTTCAGAGTAACTTGCCCAACACTGATCATCATCTATACAAAAGGAAAACTTAGGAATAATTTTGTACTGTAATGTAAAGCTGGACCATGTAACATATACTGCAGTGAATTATGAACAGTAGAGAGTATCATTCTTGTTTTGTAATGAAATTTTTACAAAAGAAACCATTGTATAAAGCTACATGTTGTTAGTGTTTTTAGGTTGTTGTGTTATGAGTGTGTTTGTTGGTTGAAAGCCTTTGCTAGTGTAATGGAAGAATAAGTTGATTTGAGACATGTATTTTAGTGCAGTTTTAGTGTAGTTTTATCCCATTTTGAATCTGAAATTACAGTTTTTTTTCAATTGCATACACACAAAATCTTTACTTGTCACACAATTTCTGAAAGCTGACACTCAAACACCAGAAGCACACACCAGATCTGCAAAAACATACACTAATTCTCAGCCTTTGACTCAGTTTTCAATTTCATAAAACACTTTTTGCAAAACACAACACACAATTCTCTATGTAACCCACACAAATCTAACAGGAATTAATATTATGGCAAAGGTGTTTGCAAATGTTTGCTTTTGAGATGTGTTTGTGATATTTTTTGAATGCAGTGCTTCATTTTGCAAGAGATGTGAGGCATTTTGCATTTTGTGTGTGCAATTCTTTTATTTGTGTGTAAAGTTTTGAAAAAAAGAGGCAAAGTTTTGAAAATGTAAGCAGTTGAAAAAAAAAAATCCTGTAACTGCTGTGCCAATTTGAAAGATGGTTAGGAGAACTGTGTGAAGAGTTTTGAAAGAAGTATTGAGAAATGTCTCCTAACGACTGCAAAAACTGTAACACGCTCTTGGCGATGCAGTTTGGTGCTGCTGGAAATCTAGTAAATCTGTAGTACTTCCACTTTTGGATGCAACCTGTTTAAGGCATAATTTGTTGATTATTTCTTCAATGAATCAATTCATTAGATAAAAGTCTCATTTTATTTTCTGTATTTTATTTAAACAAATATCATTCCACATCTTGCCCAAATGTTGTGCTCCAAACAATATTCAAATGGAAAGCATTTGCACAGGAATCTGCGATTTTGTGGCGAATAGCCGATGGTATACTGCTTGCTTGTTGTGTGGCATTAATGGATTTTCTCCATTTTTAAGAAATCTGGACCTAATGAATAAAAAAAAAAGTTAGATGAACATGCTGATGCAGTGCTTCGGACCTACATTTATGACTGGAGGAGGACCATTTACATCCAAATTTGATTTAATTTACATACTTTTTAGAGCATAGAATGCTTAAGCATCCATTTTCAGTGAGATTTACTAAATCTATAGTGTTTGTGCATCTGACATTGTGCATTTAACTACAATAATGCCCAACAGATGTCTGTGGGTGAGTAATTCACTTCTTGATTTGCTTCATAAAAATTACTTTGTGCTGATTAAATATTTTTATGGTGCATCATTATCAGTGTGTTTATTGCTAAGTTTAGCGTGGCAAAAACAGATGTACTGTAGGGCAGCGCTTACAAGTCATGACAACCTCACAGAGTCTCAACAATGTCGAAAGTCTGTAAAAGTCAGAGATCTCAATATGAACTCAAACAATTGACCTTTTTTTCAGGAATTGTATGAGAACATAAAGTTGATAGTTACAGGAAACATAACTGAAAACTACATTAAATCACCTCGGCTGTGAAACAACAACACCTGAGCAATAAAATTTACATCTGCGTGTGTGTATACAGTGGGTACGGAAAGTATTCAGACCCCCTTCAATTTTTCACTCTTTGTTATATTGCAGCCATTTGCTAAAATCATTTAAGTTAATTTTTTTTCCTCATTAATGTACACACAGCACCCCATATTGACAGAAAAACACAGAATTGTTGACATTTTTGCAGATTTATTAAAAAAGAAAAACTGAAATATCACATGGTCCTAAGTATTCAGACTCTTTGCTGTGACACTCATATATTTAACTCAGGTGCTGTCCATTTCTTCTGATCATCCTTGAGATGGTTCTACACCTTCATTTGAGTCCAGCTGTGTTTGATTATACTGATTGGACTTGATTAGGAAAGCCACACACCTGTCTATATAAGACCTTACAGCTCACAGTGCATGTCAGAGCAAATGAGAATCATGAGGTCAAAGGAACTGCCTGAAGAGCTCAGAGACAAAATTCTGGCAAGGCACAGATCTGGCCAAGGTTACAAAAAAATGTTTTTCAGCTGCAGGGACAGGACGACTGGTTGCAATCGAGGGAAAGATGACTGCGGCCAAGTACAGGGATATCCTGGACGAAAACCTTCTCCAGAGTGCTCAGGACCTCAGACTGGGCCGAAGGTTTACCTTCCAACAAGACAATGACCCTAAGCACACAGCTAAAATAACGAAGGAGTGGCTTCACAACAACTCTGTGACTGTTCTTGAATGGCCCAGCCAGAGCCCTGACTTAAACCCAATTGAGCATCTCTGGAGAGACCTAAAAATGGCTGTCCACCAACGTTTACCATCCAACCTGACAGAACTGGAGAGGATCTGCAAGGAGGAATGGCAGAGGATCCCCAAATCCAGGTGTGAAAAACTTGTTGCATCTTTCCCAAAAAGACTCATGGCTGTATTAGATCAAAAGGGTGCTTCTACTAAATACTGAGCAAAGGGTCTGAATACTTAGGACCATGTGATATTTCAGTTTTTATTTTTTAATAAATCTGCAAAAATGTCAACGATTCTGTGTTTTTCTGTCAATATGGGGTGCTGTGTGTACATTAACGAGGAAAAAAAATTAACTTAAATGATTTTAGCAAATGGCTGCAATATAACAAAGAGTGAAAAATTTAAGGGGGTCTGAATACTTTCCGTAACCACTGTATGTTATGTATAATAAGAGTGTATATGGTATGTGTGTGTGGTTCTACAGAACAAACTGTGGCTTGCTGAC